TTAATTAATTGGTTATGTGAACATTATAAAATACACACAGGGAAACTGTGTTAGTGTATGCATATTAATAAGAGTTAAGTCAAGCCTTATAACAACTCCATGAGGTGCTATTACCCCCATTTTACTGATGATGAAACTGAGGCCTAGACAAGTCAAGTTACTCATTTAAAAATCACATAGCTAATAAGAGGTTGGATGGGCATTCAAACTCAGGTGGACTGATTTTTGGATCTTGGTCTTAATTACTGTGCTGTATTATATTGTGTAGTCCAGAATATTATAAGTTTCTTTGGTATTTACGCCTTGCATTCCTTTCAGGTTTTTGGCTTTTTTTTTTTTTTGGTGGTACTGGGGTTTGAACTCAGGGTTTCACACTTGCCCTAGGCAGGTACTTTATGACTTGAGCCATGGCCCTAGCCCCCTTTATTAAAATTTCAAATGTTTAGCAGCTTCTATTTAGTCTATCTCCATGCATCATTATCCTCCAGTAACTCAAGTTAGAAAATACAGGATCATTTTAGTTTCTTCATTTTCCTTAATATTCATACTCAACCCACACAGATTCTATTACAATTTAAAAAATTATCACACCTATAATCCTAGCTACTTGGAAGGTTGAGATAGGGAGGAACACAGTTCCGTTAGTTCAAGAGACCCAATCTCCAAAATAACCAGAGCAAAATGGACTGGAGGTGTGGCTCAAGAGGTAGAGCACATGCTTTGCACTTGCAAAGCCCTGAGTTTAAACCTCAGTCCCACCAAAAGAAAAAAAAATCCATTCTTTCCAGTTCTCTTGTTGTGTGATCCGACTTGGATCTTCACGATGCTTTCTTTGTCTGAACTGTGATGGTAGCCCCTCTCTCTTCTCACCTCCAGCCTCCCCCTCAAGTCATACTGGACACACAGAACTCTGTGTCCCCCTAAAAAGTCAAGCTGGAATTCATAGGTGGAGAAGACAAAAGTACAAACAAGTTAATAGTTAGCTAAGATTCTAGTAGAGATAAGTTATCAAATACCTCTGTTCTCTTTGGTTCCTTCAAATCACACGTGTTCCTATCGAATTTCAAGTTCTATCCTGATAAAGGATCCTTATCTAGAGTCTTGAGGACATTATGGTAAATAAAATAAATGGGTCACAAAAGGACAAGTACAGTTTGATTCTACATACATGAGGCACTTGCAGTATTCCAGCTCTGAGACAAAGTGGAAGGATGGTTGCCAGAGTCTAGGGATATGGGAAGGGAGAGCTATTGTTTACTGGGTTTGGAGTTTTTGCTTTTGCAAGATGGAAAGATTTCTGGAGATGGATGGTGGTGGAAGCAGCACAACATGTAAATGTACGTGGTGGCATTGACCTGTGCAGTTAAAATGGTTAAGATGGTAATTTTACGTTATGTGTATTTTACCACAGTTTTTAAAAAAGAGTAATTAAGGATCATCTAGAGTTTATCCAAACAGGTGGAAATCTTTCATTTTAGACTGATGACTCCCAGCAAAAGCTTATGTGAGTCACGGTTCACCCTTCCACGTGTATATCATGTCATTTAATTTAAAGACAACTCTTAGCTACATTCTAAGTCTAGTTACATTCAATACCCCCACTTTAAGTTTGGAGAGCTTGAAACTCAGCTGTTTCACTAAGTGACCTGTCTATGGTCCCAAGCCTGGCCCGTAAGATGGTGAGACTTGAATTAATGAAAACCCCATGCTTCCGCAGGTGTGGCCTTCAATGTCCACACCTTTTGTAGAAAGTAGCATTAGAAATTAGTAACAGGATTGGATTGCCAGCCTGAGGAGTGGAAGTGAGGAAGAATTATGAGGGACTCTGGGGCTGGAAATGGAATAGATGGCATCATTTGAATTTGCCCAACTAAAATTAGAAGTTTCTCATCCCAGTGAAAAGACAATGTATCAGGGTTTGGAGACTCTCCACTTACTATATCTTACAACTTGGGTAAGAATCCTGTATGAAGATGGTTAACCATGAAGAATTAAAAGCGTGTATACCTGTGATTCATCATCTTTTTCTTTGCAAAAGCTCAGTGGAATGAAATGGAATTTCATCCTCTGTCTGAGATAACCTAACGTGGTTTTTCTCTGGTTCAAGGGAGAGATGATTATGGAATAATACAATGCATGGAATTACTTTTAAAAAGCCAGGTCGGTATGAGTGAGCACAGAGACGAAGCAAGATTGGCTTTGAGTGATAATTACTGAAGTTGGTAGATGCATACCTCAGAACGTATCCATACTTAATATTTTCTCTATATAAAGTTAAAATTAGTAATTCTCTAAGGATATTCTGGGGGAGGAAAAGGTGGAGGTAAATGCCACAGTCACTTTAGAAAACAATTTTCTACATCCTTTCCTTGAAAGCCACGGTACAGGCTAGTGACTGGGAAACACTGCATTGAAGCAACCTTCACCATACTTTAACCCACATTCAGATTTGACTTTGGAAATCCATTTTTTCCCTTATGCAACACCTGTTAATAATGGCTAACATTCCATGGGGGGCACGCTTTGGAAAATCTGTTTTAAAAGATCACGTTGTGACTGTTGATGGGCAATACGAGTCAAGGACAGGTTCCTGCTCTTTCTGCCAAGATCAGCTTTTCAGAATTGGAGAAGACTTATTTTTCTTGGCTCACAGAAGAAAAGCAAGGAAATCAACTATTCATTGTATGACAACACAGCAAACTTTATAGGAACTCATACCAGTTCTGTGTGCTGGATGATATGCACAGGGCATGGCCAATAGGGTCACCAGCCTTAGTTCAAACCTGTCTTTACCACTCCAGTTCTGTGACCATGAACAAGTTGCTTAACTCTTTGTGTTTCATTTCTTCATCTATAAAATAGGAATAATAAGTTTTTTTATTAACCCTTATAGAATGGTTGCCAGATTTGGCAAATAAAATGTCAGGGTGTCCAAATATTGCATGGAACATACTCATACTAAAAATTATTCTGTTTATTTGAAGTTCAAATGCTACTGGTCATCCTGGTTTTTTTTTTTGTCTAGCAATTTTAATTTATTTATAGAAGCATTGAGACAATTATATGACATAACCCACATAGTAAGTCCTTAATGAACTATTTATTGTTATCATTAATATTGCTACTTTGGTCATTGGCACCTTTTTTAAAATTTCTGGTTCTCCTAATAATTTTCTAAGGATTTTCCTAAGTATCCAACTTAACCATTTAGAGTCATATATTCTCTCTAATCATCAAAAAGAAGAAAGTGATATCTTCTGGTTTAAGCCATTAGAGAGAAATTGTTTTGTTAAGGGCTAAGGGAGGCGGCATATTAAATTGTCCTTCATTTGCAGCTGACAGAAGGAAACCATGTTAGGAAAGCAGTTAACATTCCCATCATTCAATGTTTGTTTATTTGGTGGAACTGGGGTTTGGATCCAGGGCTTTGAACTTGTGAGGCAGATGCTCTACTACTTGAGCCACACACCTAGCCTGATGTTTGTTAATTTTTTAAGTTCCAGGAGAGCTACCTTTATATTTTGGTTTTCCTTAGGGAAGAATTAAGTTGCAGTTAATTCTTGAACTGAGAGTGGAAAAAGAGGAAGGAAACCCATAACCATTTAAAAGCCAAGAGAAGTTACCCTGGGCTAGGGATGAAACACGGAAGAGAGAACCTTCCACATGCAGCTATCCAGAGTTCATTGTAATGTCTCAAAGAAGATAGTCACTTAAACAGCTTGTCCCAGGCATGGTGTAGTCAGAAGAGCAGAACACACAGCACAGTTTCCACAGTACCTATACTTTTTAAATACCCATGTTGGCCAGGAAACCAACAATACAAGGAAAAGTCTTGCTCACACGGTACACACACTATACTATTTTTCTGCACAGAATCTGACAGCTGGCAAATTTTTTGTATGTAAGCTGATGATACGTTTCTGTGGTTTCTGTCTATCATTGTTGACTCATGAACTAGTCAAGATTTACTGGACTAAGAGTCGTGATTTACATAAGCACATGGTTATCAGATTTTCTATAGAAAGGAAACAAGACAGTTCTGACTATCCCACACTGAGAGAATGGGACCTTCATGTTCAAGTTTTAAGTAAAAAATGGCCTTCTTCTAAATTATGAAAATAGTTTTCATGTATGCTTACAGAAAGAAAATTTACTTATGCATAAATCCACTTTCACACATTGACTAAAAAATGTAGGGGAGAGAAAGCAAACCAGAGAGAGAATTTGTGAAAGAAAAGGAGGTGCTTAGAGGCAAAGAGAGAGAGTGAAACAGAAAAAATAATCAGAGATACACAGACAGAAAATCAGACTCCCATGTAACACAGTAAAGTCCCTTACCTTTGAAACCCTCTTTCCATATATTTCTAAATAGTGTCACCTATGTATTTTCTTTCCCTGAACCCAGGCATTGGTTGCCCCACCCCCTTTGTGCGTAACTTATCACACATACCATGAGTAGGGGAAAAACTTGATTTTAATAGTCAGCTACAACTAGATATCAGGAAGTCGTATTAAAACTTTGAGTTTAGTTTCTCTTTGATGGTACAAGGGCTGTTTTCAGATATATGTTTCAATTTCCTGATAAACATAAAAGGAAAGGGCTACTTAATTCAGAAAATGACTGTTTTTGGTTTGCAAACAAATAATCATTGAATTGAAAGAAGCCAGATTAGTTCCTGGTATATATACAGAACCAGCAGTGGCTTCTCCTGGACTAGCGTGGCTGTCAAAAGGAATCAGAATCCAAGGCAGTTCTAAGGAAGTAAATAAATAACATCGGCAAAGGCAAATAAAAAAAATCAGCACAATTTTTTTTTTGTCCGGACACGTTATGTCTTCATTAAGAGGAACTTGTAAAACTTGATTATTCACTTTCTGAGTTTGAACAGAGCCTGGTCTCTGGTAGACGACAGAGGGTAAAGTGAAACCTGACACTGGTTTTTCAGACCCCTCTGGTAATACAGTTTTAAAAGGGAAAGCAATAAGAAGAATGTACTTACCAGTGTCACGAACTTCAACTCCTTGCCTAGTGCACCTCTGTCTAGCCTGAGGGAGAGCAGAAGCAGGAAGCCAAGCCTGGCTGCCCTGGCCACGCCAAGGGGGGCAGCAGTCATGGTGGGGAGCACTGTTTCTGGCAGGATTCAGAGGTGCTGCTCCTCTCCTTCAGAAGGGAAGCTATTTAATCAAGGGATTGACAGGGAAGGAGGAGCCACACTCATCAACAGTAAAATTTCAGGAAGCTAGGGGTGGGGTTTGGCATGTAAATGTCGTGTAATTTTTGAGTTTAAGAGCTCAGTCTCCACTTAAGTTAGGACCTGAGGGCCAGAGAAAGAAGCTGTTGCTCAATCTCACAAAGCTTGCATTAAAAAAAAAAAATTCCAGTGGACCTTTATCTTTTCTTTAGATGGGGTGACAGTGTTCGCTTTGTGACTGTCACTTATGAAAGGGATCTACTCTGGCTTTAGAAGCCTTGGTTTAGCAATTTTTTTTTCAAACTCATCACATGGTATATTTTTTATTAGCATATGTTAAATAGTACAAGGCAGTTCATTGTGATAATTCTGTAGATGCATACAGTGTGCTGTGAACAAATTCATCCCCTCTACCATATTCTCTTTTTTATTTTTTCCTTTTTTTTTTTTTTCGGTGCTGGGGACCGAACTCAGGGCCTTACACTTGCCAGGCAAGCGCTCTTCCACTGAGCTAAATCCCCAACCCCTACCATATTCTCTTAACTCTCTTTCCTCCTGCCCTCTTTTTCGAACAATGTTTGGTAGGTTTCATTACACAATCTTCATGTATACATAAAATGTACTTGGATTCTCTTCACCCCCCATCCCAGTACTCCCTCCTTTCCCCCTCCCCGTCCTGTGCTGATCCTTTCCCAGTGTCCCCTGCAACCAGCCAGACAGTCCCCCTTCTACACTCATGAAATTTTTAGTATTTGGGAATCCACAATTGTAGGAAGAGAAATTTGGAAGGAATTGACTTGAATGGACATGTTTGGGCCTATTTTAATGCCAAACAAGATGTCTGGTCTTAAACTCTCATGTAGGCAATAGGCATGTTTAAAAATCAAAGGAAAGTAAGAACAAGTTTGTTGAAAATTTTTAGTCATACCTTAAGACATTGGAGATCACTTGTGGCATCTCAAAATTAGGATTAGAAGTCCTTTTCCAAATCTGACACAGTTTGAGAAGAAAAACACATACACACACAAGCCTACAGTGCTTTGTTTTTAGTCCTCCACTGTGGCTACCAGGCTTTCATTCTGGGAGAACCACACTCTTGCCTCTCCAGCCATGATCTCACTGGGGACTCAAAAGAAGATGCCTGGGATTGGTGGGATTTTCCTTTCCATTTTCCCCATTCTGTCAACACCATCAAACTAAAACATCACAGATTGGAGGTGGCTTTGAGATTTCATAAGAGATCTGGGCAGAGCTGCCTGCTCCAATACTTCCACCCAAAGGCAGAGGGAGAACAATGGTTTTCCCCACAGCCTTTCCAAGGTGCATTATCCTTATCCGTGACAGCTGGCTTCTGTGTTATGTGCTCATAGGATGCCCTGGAATGTGGCATGTGGGAGACCTGCGGCGCTTCTGGTATGGGGAAATTAGAATGAGGAATTAGTGTATGTGTGGTAAGGTTACACACTTTTGGGAACTTGTGACCTCTTTGCTATCATATTCTCTACCTGACAGTCCCCACTGTTCTTTTCTTTTTTCTTTTACCTTCCCTTCCTATGTTCCTCCCTGCCTCCTTTCCTCTCTCCCTCCCTCTGTCCCTTCCTCTCTTCCCCTCTCTCTCCCTTCTTCCCTCTCTATCTCCCTCCCTCCCTTCTTCCTTCTCTCCCTTCCTTATTTCCTTCCTTTTTCTTTTTTAGTCAGGGTCTCATTATGTAACCCAGGCAGACCTCAAACTCATGAAGCTCCTCCATTCACAAATGCTGGGATTTACAGATGTGTGCCTCCACACCTGGGCCTCCTGCCATTTTCAATAGGAAAAGGAATGAGGAAAGGGAATGAAGATTGAGAGATTATCCAGTCCAGGGCAGCCATAATGCTATATTAATCACTGCTGTGTGCATCAGGTGACCTAAGAAAGGAAGCTCTATCTGCTACTTATAGTTCACAAGCTTAATTCTGATGCACAGTCTTAAATTGTGCAGATTCCTGATTTCGTTGACTGTCCTATTTTCTCAGTTTTCAGCCTGATTCTCTGTTCTCCTATCTGCTTCTTTGTTTCACTTTGGATTGATGCTTGGAACTATTTTAGCTATTATAGCCTAATACTGTCTGATAATTTCTCTGGTTGCCTACTTTACCTGTGTGATGGTGCATGAGTTGAATAACCTTTCTTTCTGACCCAAACCCTACTTACCCTGTGGTACTTTCTTTGGGCTCTTCTAGCCCTCTAAGTAAAAACAGTAACAATAGTAACAAAAGTTTTCTTGGAGAGAGGACTGGAAAAAGGCTGCTTGAATTAAATACAGATAATTTCAGCTGAATGAAGTGGGTGGTTTACATTTGTATCTTAGTTACCATTCAGCTTCTACTTCGTTCATCAAATTATAATGGGAGGAGGGAGAGAAGGATCAAAATAATTCATGTAGTCTTGAAAAACCTGAAAGTCAGTCTGAAAGATACTCAACTCAGACAAAACCCAGTTTAGAATAGTCTGTGTCTTTGAGCCTTGTACTCATAAAGTATTTGAAAAGAAGTAAGCCCTATCTGGGATAAAGATATGAATATAATAATGTCAAAATTGAGAATTGAAAAAACATTGGGATGTTATTATGTGAGTGAAGGGTGCCAATAATTATTTGTGTTTAGTAGAGTTTACCAGTTGAATCATCTGTGTTCCTTTGTACTTCCTTCTTCGTATGACAAGTGTTCAACCTCTAATTAACAATGTTCCCTAATTGGAGCAGGTTAGGCTTTTTGGAAAGCAGACTCCCAGATAAAGATCTCCTTGCAGAAAAGTTCTTAAGGAGTGTTCTGAGGACCAACACTTGTGTTGTAGGATTGTGTAATCCCTAAAAACTCTGGTCAGAAGACACCTAAATTCTTGCATTCTGTGAGGAAGGAATTCATTTAGCAGAAGTGGTGAGGAAGACAGACAGAGCTCTTGGTTTCAAAGTGTTTTGGTCAATAACCTATAGTGGGAAGAAATGTGGGTGGTTCCTGTGGGTTGGACTAGGGTGATTGACAGTTTTGATTTACTCAATACATGCACTTAAACTAGCTTGTAGGTATTTTAATGACTGTCATGGGGTGTGATCAATATTCATGTTTTTAGCAAGGGATTTACAATTGAAAAGAGCTCTGTCACCAGGAAATGTCACATGGCACCTGTTACCCAATGACTTCCTTTTCTTACTTTCTAATTTGCCTCTCTAGTAGGGCAAAGAAAAATAAGCAGAAGAAGTTGGGTGGCAATTCAACGTTAGTGAAGGCCTTAGCCGACCCTGCTGGATGTTCTAAAGATGAGATGAACTTCTGGAGTTGTCCTGAATTGGAGTAAGGGAACCAAACCTTTTGACACCTCCACTAGCTAGTCATTGGGTGCAATATGCCCTGGTAGGGGAAGATGACCAGCGTTCATTGAAGGTGGCTCTCTTCTGACATGGCAGGTCTCATATGGGTTGGTAGTCCAGTGATGTCAAACAACCACTCTCTAAACTCTGGGTCAATTAATCCTTCTGTACATGAGAGGGTGTTGGGTTTGGTGTCACAGAATCCATGACAATGAGCAACTTAGATCAAGGCTATGGAAGCTCTAAATGTGCCTCTGGTAGGGAGAGTCTGGGTTGGAGCTAAGAACCATCAGGAGGTATGTTCACCAAGTAGGAAGGTGGTACTTAACCTGTCTGAATTCTTATGGCTGTAATTCAATTGTATTAGCTGACTTTTGGTGCCTGATGGACTTTAGCACAGTCATAGTGTTCACTGAACAACCATGATGAAAAGGTAAATTGTTACATCAGAGCCTTGTTATAGCGTGAGCTGCTTGGCGGCAGAATTTAATATAGCAGGGGTTTAAAATAAATGTTCTCCCTTTAATCCTTCAGGGTGTGCCCATGGCATAACTACTTTATTGTTTAATATTTAGACAAATATTTCCCCCACAAAAGCATGTCACTGCAATGTCATTAAGATGAGAAGTGGATAGCTTAGGGATTCATAAAATGAATCAACACTTTCAGAGGTGTACAAAGTGTTAGAACTTAATTGTTCTTTCTCTTTTTGGCAGGCGTTTGAATTCAAGGCTTCATACTTGTTAGGCAGGTGCTCTACTACTTAAGCCACATCCTCAGCCCTTTTTCCTTTAGTTATTTTTTAAAAATGGTCTTGCATTTATGCTCATGCCAGCCTGGAATGTGAACCTCCTACTATGCTTTCCTCATATCTGAGTTGATAGCATCAGCAAACCTGGCAGTTCTTTTTTTGTTTTTAGTAGCATAAATTAATTGCACAAAGGGATTTCATTGTGATATTTACATTTGTGCATACAATGCACTTTCATCAAATTTACCTCATCTGTGTTACTCTTTCTTAATCTGTCTCCCTCCTCCCCAGAACTAATATTTTTATTTATTTATTTATTTATTTATTTTTTAGGAAGGAACAAGGGTCTTTACTGGCTGAGATAAGGACAGCCACACAGGGAGTTGACTCACATTAATTTCCTTTGCGTGTGTTCTACCTTCTAGGTCAATTCTTCTTGATCTCACCCTTTCTCCAGTTCCTGGTCCCCTTCTCCTATTGGCCTCAGTTGCTTTTAAGGTATCTGCCCCAGTTTCTCTGCATCAAGGGCAACAAATGCCAGCTAATTTTTCTGGTGTCTTACCTATCCTCACCCCTCCCTTGTGTGCTCTCGCTTCTATCATGTGCTCAATAGAATTCTGCTTTACAAAGGACTATTTAACCATAAAAAGGAACAAAGAACTAATACATGTTACAAAATGGAAAAACCTTGAGAATATTATGTTAAGTGTAGAAAGTCAGTCACAAAAGACCACATGTTATATGATTCTATTTGTATTAGATATTTAGAATAGGAAAATCTCAGGACAGCAAGCAGATTAGGGGTGATGGCTAAAGGACATGGGATCTCTTTGGAGGGTCTGCTAAAAATACTCTAAAATTGTGTTGCTACTTGTACAACTCTGAATTGGGCACTTTAACT